CACTCATTGGGGCGCTATGACAACAACTGGGTTAGTTCTGATAGAATGATCAAGACCAAAAAGAAAACAAACGTTGCAGTGATATAATGTATATAATTCTAAAGAGTAGAACATTAGGTGTTGATCAATCTTTTTTTAGAATGCGCCACGTACTTGACTACATCCAGAATTCGTATTGCATTCAAACGCAACTCAGGCTATACAATGAATTGCAGGGAGCAAACATACAAATTGGCGTTTCCATCCTCTGAAACGTGTTTAAAATCATTTAACCGACCTGGCGTCTTGGCTTGGGTTAGGGTTGGTCAGTGATTCGTTCGCAGAACGTGCATGTGATAAGCGTGCAACTTGATAATAGACCAAGTCGGCCCGTCTATTAAAATCATCACAATAACATTATAAGACCTACAGTCAATGACATCCTAATTATTTTCCAATTCTATTGCTACGTTTTGTGTTGATACTTATCAAACTGCCCAACATCAATCACTAGTTACTCAAGGTCAGCACACGTTTGCCAGGCGAAATGTGTGCAGAACGTTCGACATATCGATCACAGTCAAACGCCTTTTTTATCACATTGAGGTGGCACCTAATTTTTTCAACTCGGTTGTTTTTGTGTTGCAATATAATCGTTGATGTCGAACAGTGCAATCATGAGACTATGAGTACCGCATGAAACAATTTTAAAAATCATTTTGTATGTAATATAAATGCTTGGAAAATTATACTGACAGGTTTTATTTCTGTTTATAGCTAGTTAAAGCAAAGCAAAAGCAAAAGCATTTGCCGTTGATCAATCCCTTTTTGGGATGCGGCACGCATTCTACTTCCATTTGTACATTCGTAGTGGCGTTTGAATGCGATGTGGCCTATACAATGACTTGCGGGGGCCAGCCGATGTACAAGTCAGTGTTTTTATCCTCCCAGACAAGTCTGGTACCAATTAACCGACCCCGGAGGGATGGAAGGCTTGGTTGGCCCGGGCGACTCACGACCCAGGATTTGATCCCCGGACCGCTCGCGTGGTAAGCGTGCCACTTGCCACTACACCACTTCCGCCCTTTTAGCTAATTAGTGTCAATAATTGTGGTTTTGTTACAGGACGTGGATTTTTAGAGCGGTTAGCAGACTTGAAGATGACATGTAGGAACCTCCATTACATTTACTGGTCACCCATTTTTTTCGCTACTTACGGGTCTGGTTTCGCTCACCGATGTTTGAAGTGTTTTTTCCTTTCTTTCATGTTTTTTATTGTTGTGCTGGAAGTTTGATTCAGTGTTTCTCAATCAGGTTTTAACCACATGAGTTACCTCATGTAATAAATATATATATATATATATATCGTGTTGTATTGATTGATTGGTTTTACGATTTAAACTATCCCTGTTGGGATCGGTGGTTGCCAGCCGCTGGTGTGATAAAATTGATCTCTTACTCCTGGAATGGGCAGTATGCATTCGGATAATGGAAAAATAAGGATAAAAGGATAAAGCATTTGCCGTTGATCAATCCCTTTTTGGGATGCGGCACGCATTCTACTTCCATTTGTACATTCGTAGTGGCGTTTGAATGCGATGTGGCCTACAATGACTTGCGGGGGCCAGCCGATGTACAAGTCAGTGTTTTTATCCTCCCAGACAAGTCTGGTACCAATTAACCGACCCCGGAGGGATGGAAGGCTTGGTTGGCCCGGGCGACTCACGACCCAGGATTTGATCCCCGGACCGCTCGCGTGGTGAGCGTGCCACTTGCCACTACACCACTTCCGCCCATAGGAAAAATAGGATAGGAATAAATGAAGTGAAAAAACATAGGAAAAATAAGTAAAAATTAAAAGTAGAAAGAGAAAGGGACCCATGCAGCGGAGTGCATAGTCGCCCAATTCGAAGACAGTCTTTTGCTTAGAAAAATACGTGGCAGCAATCACCCAGTTCTGTAAGGAAAAACGTTTTGTTTCGCTGACTTGAATATACATAGATCTACGGCACCCACAAGTTTGACATGACGCCTGTGGTGATAACGCCAATCCTATTCTTTCTGTCTATATGAAATTTTCTCAAATGGGTGGCAGAATCTACTGCGGATGGATTTAATTGTGGCAATTTCTAAGGAAAATGCTAGGTGGCAATAGTTTGCTGGGAAGATGTAGGCAAAATTCAAAAGTAAAAATCAAGGCGCACAGCGCATTCTGCGTTAGGGTTTTGATGTTCCAGGTGGACAGCTTCTGGTTAGATTTCTACTGTATACATATGAATGTGCATATGGGCTACAATCACTTTCGGGGTCAGCTGGTGCGCAATAGTAGATCATAACTCTCGTTAGCAAATGCGATATGCATAATACCACTAACTAACCATAACTCCGAGTGATGGGAGGCTCAGTTTTTTTTGTTCTGACCTTGGATTTTGCGTTTGGTTGGCTTTGTCTCGCCCTAGACGCTACAGAAATTTGACTGCAGCAAAATGCTTCCAATTTGCTTTCGAGAGCTAATATTTATAGCCGTTGCTTCTGATGTGAACTATGTTGCAAGAGCGCTGAATCATAGACATCACCTCGCCTTAGTCAATACCGAAGCTCGCCCCTCGTGTTTTCCGGATAGTAATGTTAAAGGAATCTTCCACGGAAAAAGCTCCGCCTCCATTACCACAGAAAAACGATACCTTAGGCCCCTAGCCTCATGAGCATAGCAAAAAGAACGGAACATAAGCGTTAGTTTCGATAATACTAATCCTACACACAAGACAAAATGATCACTCTTTCCGTGGAAGATTCCTTTAACCACTGCACTACCGAAAAAAGTTTATCATTTACTCACTTTTCTGTGGCATATTTACCACAAGGGCGCATGCGGTCTTCTTGCAGGACGATTTAGAATTACATGGATTGGAATTACAATACATGGCGCATTCCCGAAAACGACTGATCAAAGCCAGAATGATTATCTTTTCCCTTTCCATTCACATGGCTTATCAATTCGAATTTCGACCAGGGTCGTGCCCCGTTGTGAAAGTTCGGCGAGGAAGCTAGTATTAGTGGTTTCAGGGTGGTATTTGTTTGGATGGCATTGTAGGCTAGACATTGGAATAGGAAGATTTCCAGAGATGTTTTCGTTGAGCTTTTCCGTCTTATTCGTTGTATGCATCAACCCTATCTACCAAACATGCAACACAATTTTTGGAGGTAGAAATGAAGCGTGTGAAAGGTGGGACTGAGCTCGAATGTATTACCCTCACGAGAGGTCCTTAGGGGATAAGAAGTAGCACCCTTCTGGAGGTGTCCCCCTTCTACCCCCTTCAGGTCGTCCCCTCAATTTCTGAGCGAATGTGGACTTCTGGGCTTTTGATGACCTTAACTTGGATCTTTTTCATAGCCGTGGTAAGCTCTTGGCATGGCGAAAAACTACAGAATTAGCACTTTCCAAAGTGCAATTTGCACTTTCTAGCGAGCATCTAGTCGTTCCTCAAAGTTTTTTGTTAATAAATCACACGTTTGTATTTTTTTGCGGTCATCTTTTTTGGGAACGCGGGTTCTCGGGTTTTCCAGTGACCACAACGTTCTTCTTTTTACTTGTGATGAAGTTTTGGTATCGCAGGAGAGATGAGACGTGATCTTTCTAACGAAGCTTGACCGCTTCCTATGCTCCACTTTTTAACAAACGCATTCGCACTTTCTTTCTCCTGGGTTTTTGAACAGTAACGGCGTAAGGTAGTCGTTTTTCCTAAAGGTGCCAAAAAAATCTTGAAGAAGATTCCATCAAAAATCTATCTTCTCTGAAAATTTTCAGCCTCGAATAGCCAGTCTTTTCATATCGTTGCACATCCTTGCTCTTATACATATTTAATCCAGTTACCCGAAAACCGTCCAGAATAATTTTCTGCTGCGCAGAATCGAAAAAAGCTCTGCTTCGGAAAGCTCCACGCACGCACCTGTGGCGGAGGCATTTGAAGGTCTATTTCTTCGTTCTAAGACCTGTAAAAGCCAGATATTTCCACACTTGTCGTATAGTGATGCAAGTCTAAGCCTATAGATGTGTTCTAGATTCACTTAGACCACAAAATTTTGGATTGCTCATTATCCTCCTTGTAATCTCTGGGAAGCTCGTGTTTCATCTCATCGATATGTGGAAGATATAAGAAGCCATCAAACCCTCGTTGGACATCTTCTTCATTTTTTCCACAAAGTCGTGTTCTCTTCCAGAGCATCCCTCTCTCATTCACTTACCAGTGACACGTTGTCGCGATTTTCGCCGCGGACCATCAGGAATCCCCTCCCCATTCCATGAGCAAAGTGCGACCTCGTTCGAATAGTTCGACGTGGCCTACCCTAATCGTTGTGATGACATTCGCGTTACAAAATGAATGTGCTAAATTCATGGTCACACATTCCTTCTCTCATCATAAATCGTTCTTGGTTCTGCACAGTAACGTTTGCATCTTTCTCATCCAATCAAATTGCAATCAAATGGATGTGCTGCGTTATCAGAAACAGGGGAAATAAGTTGTTAAAGTGTAAAATACTAGTAGATGCTAAGTGGCTTACTTAGCGAATAGATGAAACGAAACCTTCGATCATGCACTGAGTGGGACGTTAGAAACGTTTCCTTCTCAAAACGGTAGGTGTACGTAGAGAGATCATCTGAGAGAACTTGGCGACGAACTGACAGGAAGACAGAGGACGTGGTGAGGTGGCAAGTACCGTAAGGGTGACTGGGCATGGTTTAAGGGGCCCATAGTTGCCCTCTTGACCCTAGCGTCCTTACACGCGTTCCACGCGTAAGAAGTTTGTTCTCTAAGCTTGGTGATCCAGCAACCTATTCGACGGAGTAGCTCAGCGATCTAATTGATAAATTTTTTTCAAATACCACGTTTTTTCCTTGTTTTTGTTCGTTCTGAATTTGTTCTCAAACTAAGTTTATGTTTTTCGCCATAGTTGACTCAGTATTGCAATGATTGCTCTCGAATTTGCAGGAATGTTGAAGGAAGTCGTGGATCGTCTTGTGAATTCTCCCAGCAATGAACATGAACCCCTAAGCAACTTTATTGACAATGAATTCGTGCGTAGCAAGGATCTTGTGCCATCCGTTAATCCGGCAACTGGTCAGGCATGGATTCAGATACCGGACTCTACTGCTGATGATGTTAATCGTGCAGTTGCGGCCGCAAATCGAGCCTTTCCTTCGTATGCTCAATAAGTGTTTCATTAACTCCACCGAGATTTTAATCTGCACCATAACTTTTTAGTTGGTCCACTACCAGCGTCCAATATCGATCTGGTCTTCTGCTAAAACTGGCTGACATTATCGAAGAAAATTTTGATGGCTTAGCTGTTCTGGAATCAAGGGATCAAGGAAAGCCAATAAAACTCGCCAAGTTAGTCGCCATGCTGTTTAGCATGATCAGTTTATTTTCTTTGCCGGTTTAGGATGATCGACATTCCTCGGTGCATCCACAATTTCCGATTTTTTGCTACCGCCATCCTACATCACACTTCACCGTGAGTTCTTTTGTAAGGAAGTTCTCCTGAATACTTTGAAGAATAGACCGCAGTTTCCGCAGTACCCTTGAATTTACCTAGTTGCCAGATGTTGATGAAATATTAGGAAAGATATGCTACTCACAGCACTTGTTGTTATGGCTCAATGTTAACCTTGTGTTTGCATATCTTTAAACTGAGTCTTTATCACTGGCACTTTTTGGGTTGTTTATGGTCGTACCGATTGAGCATGTGCAAATGCTTCTACTCAGTGCTCCGTTTGCGCTTGAAAAAATAGGTAATGACAGCTCTTGTGATGTTCCCTTGCATGATCGGAAAAAGTCCATGAAGAGATGGGAATGGCGAGGGAAGCCGTTAAAGGAATCCTTCGCGGAAAATTCTTGCACTCTTTCGAACATGAATATGTCAGTTGTGATCACTGGAAATAGCACACAAAGTTTCACGCATGAAGATTCGGTTTCGAAGAGAAACAAACTTACAAAACTACTCTCTGTGGACATCGAAGGATTCAGGCAGGGTCAACCGTCCGTTCGAACTGTTCGAACGAAGGGGTCGCATTTTGGTCGGAAGGGGGTCGCAATTTCGAGGACTGCCAGCCACAGGCGCGTGCGTGGCGTATCCGAGGGCAAGAATTGTTGTGCAGACCGCATTAGATTCGATTATTATGCACAGAGAGACAGTTTTAGGCAAATTACGGTGTTTTCCTTGAGGAATAAAGAACAGTTGAATGCATCCCTATGAAAGGTTTGACTTCTCGGGGCTGAAATTAAAGTTCTTCGGGACCTAATTTTCTGAGGACGATTCTTCCAGACAACGGTAAAACACATAAGAAAGCAGAAATCTCGTAGTCTTCAAAAATGTCTTCGCCCCTCCCCAACAAGTTCTTTGAAGGAAGTTATGGGAATGGCGAGGGAAGCCGTTAAAGGAATCCTTCGGGGAATGTTCTTGCACTATTCGCGACATGAATGTATCAGTTGTGATCGGTGGAAGCACCACACAAAGTGTCACGCCTGGAGATTTGGTTTTCGAAAAGAAACAAACTTACAAAAACTACACTCTATAAACAATCGAAGGTAATTCGGGCGGAGCCA